CTCGGCGAGGAGGCGCGTGGCACACGAGCACAGGAGTCGCTTTAAACCGGGGCCGAGGGTGCCAGGCAGACCGGGCTTGGCCCAGGCGAGGGTGGAGGCCTCGGAGTCCATCCCGCGCTGTCGAGGCAGCGGCTGGGGCCAGCTGGGCGCGGGGACGGGGAGGTGGGCACGCGTGCGGCACCGGCGCGTCTCGTTGGCGGAAGCAGGTCTGTGGAGCTCAGCGCTGCCCTTCAGAGCCGTTGTGAGGCGGGTGTGAGCGGGCGAGCGGGTCTCGCTCGCAGGCGCAGCAGTAGCCCAGGACCCGCACTGACCAGCGGTAGTCCAGGACCAGGACAGAGCCCCAGATGGGTGTTGCTCGGCTGACAAGGATTCAGTTGTCTGTAGCCCAAGAGCTCTGTTCGGTCCTTCCTGGGGCGAGTAAGGGGCTGTGGAGGCGTTGGGGTTATGTAGTCCGTCTGTCTAGATGGATGCGGCCTGGAGAAAGGTGATGGGGACAATCGGGATGCTAGCCAGGGTTCAGGAGAGCCAGGCTCAGTTCCTTGCTTCACTATCCTTCCTACCTGGCTTCCTTTGAACACAGGCTCGGTAATTACTCCAGCAGACCTACAGCATCGGAGAGTCCTGTCTTACCCTCTGAAGTGCTAATGACCAGCCTGCGCCTAGCTCCCCAAAGCTGCTTCCTTAAGTCTCAAGGTTCATTACCTTAAGTCTCAAGGTTCATTTAAAATAAGCCTTTCTCTTTGCCAGATAATTAGAAGTTAATACTCCAGAAGTAACTTCTTCCTTATTGTTTTTCCAGCACTATGAGTTGAAAGAGCTCATGTGAGAAGGCCCACACTTCTCCCATCCTCAGCATGCTGTGTTAAAAGAAACTGAAGGCAGAGTAATTGAAGCTGAGCCAAGCCCCCTCCCTCCTTCCTAAATTTTTTCAGCAGAGAAAATTTGCTTTACTCTGTCCTCTAAACAGGTATCTGGGAGTTGGTAATTTTTTTCCTTGGGCTTATTTCTTGATCTTGCTTGACAAGAAAGGTCGAAGAAGCCTGAGGAAAAGAAGCAATGCTATAGCTGTGATGGTCCAGGAATTATGCAAGAGACAATTGGGTGGTTGGTCCAGTAAAAGATGTTGCCCCCAAAAGATCTTTGCCACTGTGAGGAAAAAAGAGAAATTCAGATCCTTAAGGCTCAGATGCTGAGCAGAAGCAGCTTGGCTTTCAGAGAGCATGGGGGGGGGGGGCGCTTTTCTGAGGTTCCTTCCTTTTCCCTGTGACAGATGGCTGAGCCCGTGGTTTTTTTTTAAAGAAAAAAATTCCATACAGATATATTTGCGTAAAAAAGGTTAATAAAGCTGTTCCTGAAACACATCAGTTGCTGCTAAATACCTGTCATTTGAGGTCAGTATATGATTGCTTACCAAGCTTGTTTGTTAAAGCATTTTGTAATTTAACCTCAAACATGCATATGCTTTACCGTTTCCTCAGACTAAGTAAGAGTGTGAACAAACGAAGCGCTGATTGAACTGCTGATTTCCTCCCAGTGTAGAAAAAGCTTAATTGTTCCAAACCTAAATGAATGAGTGATTCCCAAACTGTTATCCCGGGTCCATGCAGAGCTGGCAAGCTTCCTGGTGCTGACTCTTCTTTTCCAGTGGCTTCTGCCTATGTCCAGGGTTGTTATTCCAAGAGGAGCTTGGGGGTCTGTAAAAGCAGCTGGAAATGAGGGGGAGACAGCCTGGGAGCCACATAAGGAAAGGAGGGGGAGTGGCTATTTGAACCATTTGAAATATTAAGAGGTGGTTTATGTAATCAGGAAGGGGTAATGAGTGCTTACAAATCTACTGAGGAATGGTGACTGTTAATAGTGTTTTGAGTAATCCTGACTTCCATTGTTCTGGTAGGGCACTGGATTTTTGGAAGGTGAAAGTAGGAGATAACAAATGTAAATTGTATGGCTTCTTCAGAACTACGGCAGGGAGGAGGGAAAAGAAAAAAATCAGGTTTTTGGATGGACAGATTGGTTATTAGCATCGAAATTAGTGTCTTAGAAAAACATTAGCTGCTCCAAACACCAACTCAGAAATGATTACTAGGAATCAGGCAAAATGCTGCTGCTAACTATTGAATTCCTTTATAAAAATACTCTTTGTGACATGGAAGTCGATATAACTTGTAAAATCATGTGCTTCCAAGAACTGTTTTATGTGGATTGTGTTCTCTAATCCATTTTAAATCAAATTAGGTCGTTTGTTCTGGAAATTACTGCTTGAAAATTGATTTGCTCTTCTCCCAGTATTCCTTGCCGCATGCTAAAGATGACCTGTAGTTGCAAAGGCTGTCGAGTTATGTGCTGAATACACTAAATGATCAGGGTAAAAGAGCATAAAGCCTTTTTTTGTTTCTTTTTAATATTATCTTTCATTGTATTGTTTGTGCTGGAGTCAGTATGTGTCATGGAGCAGCTCATGCTATGCTAAAGATCTCACACTTGTCATTGTTACTGTTGCTAAGACTAGCTAGTGTGCAAGGAAAAGGCAAATGGGTTTTTTTGCAGAAAATGCTATTTTAGAAAGTTTGGGGTTTTGTTTGTTTTTGGTTTTTGGATACAGTCTTGCCTGACCCCAGCTTGAAGCCTACAGTGTGGTTCTGGTGTATGTGTTCCGTGTCAGGTGTGGGTGGCTGGTCTGAATTGCATGAGGATGCATAAGATACTAGTTACATATTGAAAATATTTTCAGTGCCCATTTTAGGGCCTGAACTACCACTTAACAGTGGTCAGTAGGAAGTTTCCTTAGTGATTTGGGGGGTTGAGCCATCAATTCTTCTGTAATACTTTTTTCCCCCCTTTTCTTAAGGTGAAAATTTGAGTTTTTATTCCTGATGGCTGAATTGTGGTTTGAGTTTGGGAATGGTAATCGGTATAAGGTTTTTCTCCCTGAATCTGTAAGCAGAGCACTTGAGCCACATCATCACTTAGATTTTTGTGAGCAGCAACAGCAAAATGAAACCAACCAAAAACCAGTGAATTGCAACTGCTGTTCTTGGCTGTGGGACTTGGTGAAGGCCTTAAGTGCAGCAATTTATCACTGTTGCTTTTTGGCAACATTAGGGAGTGCAAGCCTGAAGAGCTTTTTGTGGGTGAGGTGGAACATGGGAGACTTGTGCCCCAGGCACACAAGAGACTCTTGAGCAGAAAAAAGCAGCAAAAACTACCTCCTCCATTTTGGGAGCTGCAGGGGGTAGGTGTGCTGTCATTCATTGACAGCTGGCCCTAAGGGTCCATGGGTAGCACCACGGGGTGACAGATGTTGATATTTCCCAGCTTTTGGACTAACCTGTAGCCTGGGTCACTTGCGGTCATTGACCCTATCCCTCAGTGTGTGTGTGTGTGTGTGTGTGTGTGTCCCCAATGCTGGCCTGCAAAGATCCTGCTCATCTTGTTCTCTCTAGTCTTAGATTTGGTTTAACAGTGCAGTGCACCCTTCGTTCTGGGAAAGGTTCAAAATTAAGTGTAAATAGCTTATGGAAGTCTGTAAATGTAAAATCTTTCTTTTTGGGAATTGATAGGAGGGTTGTAGATTCTAGTGCCATATTTTAATTTCCTTTGTGTAACTTACCAAGTATATCGAATTCAGATTGCAATACGCTTAAATATATAGGCATGGCTATATAGCATTGATTTCATATATTCAGAGAGAGTCTTGCTATGTCTGTTCTGACTAGTGCTAAATGATTAGTTATGGTTGTATAGTATAGTCCTTGCCTTTGCTATGCCCGTTCAACTCCACTGTCTTCCAACACGTTGAGAGCTTCTTGGTGTGAGAGCTCATGATCAGAAATTTCTCCAGGGTTTGTAGTGCTGAAATGGTATTTTGCTTGCAATTTACCCTCAAAACATGGCTTTCTCTTAAGAAGTACATTAGTTATTTTCTGTGAACTAACTTTGGAAAATTCCAGCTTAGAAAGATAAACAAGCTCTACCATGTCTGCCCATTGGCATAAATGAAGGTTTGTGGCTTTTATGTTTTTTCCTCTCCTATGCTGAGCTTTATGGGATTGGCAGTTTGTTAGCATTAAGTTTATGATAAACATTTATCTCACATGAAATTAGTAAATCAAATGCTTAATAAATTACCAATTACTACAGTTAAGCTATTTTAGGATTCTGTCCATTGAGCCCCTCCAGTAATACAGTGCTGTACATATCGGCACACTTCCTTTAGGTGTAATTCATGATTTTATTTGTGGAGACTCCATTTCAATTACTCTTCAGCCAGCAGTAAAGGAGTTTATGCATCACAAAGGATTCTTTTTGTTCATGGTCTGGCTTGTAAAAGTCCTTACCAAAGAAATGAGTCAGCGGACCTCAGTTATGAGGAGTAGGGATTTGTAATATTTGGTCTTACCTTGCTATAAAATAGGATAATTTTGCAAATGCTGGATATACTTTCTTCTTCTCTCTGACTGAACAATATTGAACGTGTTCAACTAAAATGGCTGGGAGGGGATTACTTTTGCCTAAAACAGTTGGGCAATGAGAATACCTGCATGTCAAGAAAAGTGTTGAATAGGGATGCCATTGTTTGCACTGGAGTACCAGCTCAGAACGGTAATAACTAGTAATAAGTTACAGGCAGTTTTCAGGAATG